TTTTAATCTAGTGGATATTCGTTTATCTCATAGTACCTCAGACGCACTTCTCCACTTACACCATCCGGCCTTAATCCTATGGACCACATCCGTATCGATCTCCCCCGCTGTTGTGATAATCGGCCACAAATAACGAAAATGTTCACTCTTAGGCAATTCTTGGTTCTCAATCTTCACTTATCCTCACTTATCCTCTGCTTTCATTGTTAATGTTACTAAATTTACACTTCATGTACTCTGTCTTAGTTCTGCTTATCCGGAATCCTTTAGATTCAAGTGCTTTTCTCCAAATATTCAACTTTGTGTTAACTCCTTTTCTAGTCCCATCCACTAGCACGATATCGTTTACAAAAAGCATACACCATGCACGTCATCTTGAATATTTCTCGTCAACTCATCCATAACTAAAACAAAAAGATAAGAACTTAAGGTAGAGCTTGGTGTAACCCTGCATTGATAGAAAATTCATTTGTCTCTCTAGCAGGTGATCTAATGGTGGTCACCACCCATTTTTATATGTCCCTAATCACATCAATGTAACATTTTGTCACCCATTTCTTCTCTAACACCCACCATATTATATCACGAGGCACTCTATCATATGCTTTCTCAAGATCAATAAACACCATATGAATGTCACTTTTCTTTCCTCTGTATTTTTCTATTATTTTTCTCAAAAAGTATATCGCTTTCATTGTTGACCTGTCAGGCATAAACTCAAATTGATTCTTTGATATCACAGTTATATCTCACAATCGGCATTCTATCACCCTCTCCCACACTTTCATTATATGACACATTAGCTTGATTCCTTTATAGTTGTTACAATTCTGGACATCTCCTTTATTCTTATAGATTGACACTAAAATACTCTTCCCCCACTCATCTGGCATGTTCCTAGTCAACAAAATTTTGCTAAACCTAATCAACCAAGCAATCCCTTTTTATCCAAACACTTCCAAGCTTCAATAGAGATATCATTAGGTCCTAAAGCCTTATTTGATTTCATCTTCTAGAGTGCAACCTTTACTTCAAAGTTCCTAATCCTGCGATAAAACCTATAATCTTGGTTTATCGTATTACTGGCTATTTCTTCCCCTATTGACGTACCTCCATGTTCCTCATTTAATAGTTTATCAAAACAGTTCTTCCATCTTTTCTTAATCTCTTCATCCTTCACCAATACCTTAGAATACTTACTCTTGATACACTTAACTTGATTAAAATCTCTAATTTTCCTCTCACGTATCTTAGCAAGTTTGTATACTCTCTTTTCTCCCTCCTTACTATCTGGTCTAGTGTATAGGTCATCATAAGCTTTCAACTTAGCCTCTCTCACTACTTTCTTGACCTCCTTATTAGCTAATCTATAGCTCTTAACGTTTTTCTCAGTTCTATCATTCTGTCACTTTTTAAAGCACTCTTTTTTTGCCTTAACTACTGCTTGAACCTCTTCCCTCCACTACCAAGTTTCCCTAGAGCTGGGTCCCGTTCCTTTCGACTCTCCAAGCACTTTCCTTGAGACTCTCCTCATACAATTGGCCATCTAGCATCATCTTCCAAGTCCAAAGTACCTTCCTTATCCATTCTATTATTAAATATTTCTAGTTTATCCCCTTTTAAGTCCCACCATCTCGTCCTACAATGCCCACCATCATTCCTAGTTTGATATTGCCTTTTAAAACAAAAATCTAGTATCAAAATTCTATGTTGAGAGGCCAGACTCTCTCCAAGAATCACCGTATAATCATTGCATTTTAGGCAGTCCACTTTTCTCACTAAGAAGTAATGTATTTAGCTCTTCACTGACCCATTCTTAAAGGTTATCAAATGCTCTTCCCTCTTCTTATATATAGCATTGGCCACCACCAGGTCAAAAGTCAACACAAAATCTAAGATACTCTCTCTAGCCTCATTTCTATCACCAAAACCGTATCTACTATGCACCCTTTCATAGCCTCGTTTATCTATGCCTACATGGCCATTAAAATCTCCACCTATAACCAAGTTCTCTCCTACGGGTATCTCCTATAAGATCTCATCCATTTGCTCCCAAAAATCCCTCTTAGTCTGATCATCTAATCCTACTTGAGGGGAATAACGTTCACTATATTCCCTCCAATAACTAGTTTAACTAACATAATCCTATCCCATTTCCTAATGACCGCCACTACATTCTCCACAAGACCCTTGGCAATTATGATTCCTACCACATTCCCGCGTCTATCCTTACCATTATAATACAGTTTTAAATCGATATCCTCAATTTCCCTAGCTTTCTCACCCGTCCACTTAGTTTCTTGTACGCAAGCTATACTAACTCTCTTCGTAATCATAACATCTACCAATTTCATCGTCTTACCAGCAAGGTTGTTAAGATCGGGATCCTACTCAGGATTGTTTTGGGGGTCTGTCGGATCGGATCGTAGGATCGGATCGAGGATCGTAAGATCCTACTAAAATGATAAAAAAATACAACAATTTTTATATGACTAAGTAATACTATCAATATATATATAGAATTAGTCTCAAAAAATTTGAATTGAAATCCAAATGTTCAAGTGATCAACACATCATTTATAAAAAATATATATATATATCATATACAATTTACAGAAACAAAAAAAGAAAAGAAAAAAAAATAATAATAAGAGTATATATAATAATAATAATAATAATAATAATAATAATAATAATAATAATAATAAGAGCAAAAAAAAACAAAACAAAAAAAACAAAAAAATAAAAACAAACAACGAATTCAGTATATATATATATAATATACAAAATAACGTACCTGGTTCGTGAGAGGAAGATGCGAGGAAGATACAAAATAGAGCTGCGCAGTGAAGAAAGAAAAAGAAGAGAAGATCGAAAAGAGAGGAAGATTCGAAGACGAAGAAGAACAGCGAAGTGAGAGGAAGATGCGAAGAAGAAGAATAGCGTACCTGGTTTGTGGCTGAAAAATCTAAAATTTGATGTTGAATTTCTCTTTCCCCAAGTTGTATTGCCCTAATCGCAGGTCTGCTTCCTTTGTTTCTCTGCCTCTCTCTTTTTTTTGCTTATGATTTTGCTTTCAAGTTGATAAAAAACCCTTCAAATCTGGATCGCATGGAGTCGCGATCCAGATACGATCCCAACGATCCTTTCACGATCCCACCACAATCCTGATCTAGGGTCGATCCAAAGCACGAGTCGAATCGAATGATGTATATTGGATCATAGGATCGTACGATCCTACGATCCGGATCGCAATCTTAACAACCTTGCTTACCAGTTAAGGTTCCTATATTCCAAGCAAGGTTCTGAAAAGCGGTTGCGGTCGCCGTAACGGTGGCGGTGGCGGTGGCGCGGTTGTGGTTGCGGAGTGTAAAGGCCGTAGCGTAACGGTTGCGGTAACCGGAACCGTGAATATTTTTATTTTTCGCACAATTTGAAAAAAACTTACCTATATGCATTTTTTTTTCCATGATCATATTTATTGGGTTTAAAATAAGGGGTGGTTTGGCATCCCCTAAATAATCAATCTTTTTATCTTTTTATCTTTTTTCCATCACATCACCTCTCTACTTTTTTGCACATCTTTTCGTAAAAAGACAAAAAGTGCACTTATTTAGATCATCCCAAACAATCCCTAAATATTGATAAATTTTTGTAAATTTTTAGGTATGATCCAATATATTTCATATTTTTAAATCACTATAAACTGAGTTTTTTACATTTTATTTTAATAATTAATGACTTCATATTATACAAAAAAAATCAATCAATTACTAACTATTATATATAAAAAAAACAATGACAAAAGTAAAAGAATAAATAAGAGCCTAAATATATATATACATATTTTAACCAAGCCAAATAGATAATGACCACACTTATTATTATTATTATTATTTTCAAACAATATATAGATAGACACACACAAACAAAATGGTTGAGTGATAGCAGCTAAATAGAATAGCATAGGTCTTACAGCTTCAACAAATCAATAACATGTTCTTCATCTTCCCTCATCTCTCTCTCTCTCTCTCTCTCTCTCTCTATCACTTGCTCCACCGTCTTCTCTTTTTATCTTCCTTTCTCTCTATCCCTCTTCCTCCATTTTTAGCTCTTTTTTTTTGTGTGTTTTTTCAAAAGAAGCAGTTCGGAACCGTTATGTAACGGTACGTAACAGGCCGTTACAGCTGTTACAGCACCGTTACGACCGTTACGGCAGCCGCTACAACCGACACACTTGTGAATCTCAATCACACTGCAAAAGCGGCCGTAACGGGTGGCGGTAACTACCACAACCGTTACGTAACGGCGTTAAGTAACAGTTGCGGCCGCTTTTTAAAACCTTGATTCCAAGTGACTACCCTAAACCTATAGTCTTGGACTAACTTCTTTACCCGCGATCATCCAGAAAAACGCGAAAACCTTTGTCTATTTTTCACCTCACTCAGACGTCGATGCGGCGCCCCTTGCTCACTTTTTGAAACACCAGAAGGCAGGTGCAACGCATCACTTGAGGGGAACGACCTTGCATTTAAACGATTCAAAGAATGATTCATTGTCATAAGGGATCCGAGCGGCTTTTTTTCATGTTGGCTGTCAGCTACCTAACACACAACCCTCCTCCTTTACCCAGGCTGGGGACCAGCGGAGTTGTTAATAATCCCGGCAGACTTAGCCTAAATCTTGAAAGAACGGAGATTTAAAACACTCACTAGGATGGGACAACTACTGATGCTGGATGAAACAGCCTCAAGATTAGTTAATTGTTTACATTGACTAATGTGATCGACACACAAAACAAAGCCTTATCATGTATGAGGGGTTGGTATTGGTGTCAACCTAAGAAGCACAAACAATTTTGGTGTTCCACTAATGTTTCATTTTGATATCTTAGGAAACAGAAACATTTCGGTCATTTCCTTTCTCATACATAGTTTTCAAGCTGTTAGTCTATCCCAACCCTAGAAATGAGTGCTCATAAAAATATAAGAATTGCATACCTTGTTACCATCTGAAACACCCAGTGTAGGAAGACCCAAATGAACTATAAACTCAGAGTCAACCACACCAATGTTTTTTGTCCGATCACCCTGTAAAAAAATGGTCCAAATGTCATTAGCATCCACAAGAAGAGAGTCATACAAAGAAGTTTTAGGATTAGAAAAATTGCCTGTGCACAGTAACCAAGCTGCATATCCAGGCCCCATGCATGGATCAAGTCATTCTGTTGAGGTTCAAAACTCATTAGAAAACAATTACAACAGAGTCAAACAACAGCCGTAGCTTGCGAAATAGAAAGTCTAGGAACATAGAAAACACATAGATGGATAGCATTTTACAAGATTTGTTAATGGGGCTCATTTTTGGAAAATCATGTCCATCAATCTATTTTCTATATTTGATCCTGTGTCTAACAAAATCAATCGGGGCACCACAACTCTCCTCATTATTGGCAAAAGGTTTACGTATTTAAGTTATAACAGGAGAGTATTTAAGTTATAACAGGAGAGTAACGTTGTACATAAACATATTTTTTGCCAGATTTTCTTACCACCGACACAAAAGAAGTGAGGACTACATTAATAAATACACATGGGACCATTGCCCTTGTGTCTACTAATAAGAAAATCTAGTAACAAATCCGATTATACATACCAAAAAAGAAATCCCATGTTACCATAATAAGCAAAGTAAGTGAAACTGAAACCTCATGGAAATCCTAAATCATTCTTAGTATTTTAGCTCACTCATTGTTCCAGACAAATATTAACAATTCACACATTATGATCTTGTTATGCACTCACTTCGAAAAAAATACCCTATACCTGGATCATATACCAAGTGCATCGCCAAGCTGCTCTAGAGAATACCGGTGCCATAATTTCCACCCAACTGCAGAAGAAGTTTTGTTAAATTGCATAAGTACATAACTTCTCTTTTCTGGGTGGGTGCAATCGATGAGTTTTGTTTCTAAAATTTTTTTTTTTTTTTTTTTCCTGAAAACAATTAACTTTTTAGGAAACAACAAAAAGTTGTTTTCGCACAATAATGAAAAAGATGAGTGTTTTTGAAAACATTAAAAATGAAAATAAAAAACAAAAATAAAGAAAGCAAAAACACAACCAAACAAAGACAGGGGTTGTGATACTCTACCCCACACATGGAGGAGCTGTGCTGTTATCATCGCACCTTCCACCGCCATTTTTATAGAACCTTCTGTTCAAGACATAGATAAGAAAAGCTAAGATGAATTGAAGTTTCTAAATTTGTAGGTATAATAGCATATTGTTATCTAAATAGAGAATCTCCAATCCCAGTAATATGGGATCCAGTAACCACACAAGACAAAGTAGTAGAACAAGTAATGTCTGCGGGAAGATAAAAAGCAGCAATGAACTCCAGCAGCAGGTGAAAGCCTTGACCAATTTGTTGGACTCTAGAATGTTAGTTAGCTCATAAGAAGCACGGTCCCGGACACGTCACACGTCACGTGGGGACACACTGTGAGTGGCGGTTGGTCACCATGCTTCTGTACCTAGGAAATCTCTTCCAATAACTGATTTCAAAAAAGTGGTCATTGACGATTTGATCTCCAAAATTGTTCATGTTCCATGAACCAGCATTTGCAATGATCAAACATAATATGGTCTGGTATTCTTGAACTGTGACATCTATAGGGTTCTATAGATAACTTGATCCTTTTGGAAAGACAAACTAAGTTTGGTGAAAGAGAATTCCAGAAAAGAGGAGAACAAGCAAAAGGTTGCTGGAAAGTTCTAGAGAGAAGAGGAAGCCAAAATGAAGAAGAAGAAGAAAAAGCTTCAAGGAAGCTCCATTGTTGAAGCATAAGGATGAAGAAACAATGTGCACACACGGTTTGTACACAGATTGAAAATCTATAAATAGATAGGTTGTATGTTTGTTTGAGATAGAGTGGGAGAAAAATATAATCTCCAGGGAGAAACACAACATCTCCAGATAAGGAGATTTCTAAGAGAGTAGAGAGTATAAGAATTAATAGAGAGTTTGCTCTGTTTTGTATAATTTGCTTGTGATTGAATAAAATGAGTGTTTATTCAATTTTATTCCTCTCTTTGTATACCATCACAACCGGTATACACCCCTCTCCTACTACTCAATAGTGGTATCAGAGCTAAAAGAGCCAATTTGGGCCAAAATTTCAAAGAAACCGAGAGTTTTCAAATTTGCCCAGATTTCAAAGGTGTCGAAATCAATATCTGAATATACCAGAGGGTTCGTGTCGACTAGAGGAGTCCAGAACCATTAACCAGAAGAGTCAAGTAGTAGCCGAAGTTCGCCGATAAATGCAACATCCGAAAATGGAAATTTTTCAAAGTTATCAAAATTCAATTTTGAGTATATCGGATTAAAGTACTTGTCGAGGGGATTCCGACGGTATAAAGAACAGCTCAAATGAACTCCGAATGAACCTATACAGCTGCCGAGAAGTTGAGTGCGTACATAGCACTCACCTTCCCCAAAATTCTGAAGCTGCAGAACATTCAAGAGAGGATTCCAACGGTATAAAGAACAGCTCAAATGAACTCCAAATGAACCTATACAGCTGCCGAGAAGTTGAGCACGTACATAGCACTCATCTTCCCCAAAATTCTAAAGTTGCCGAACATGCAAGAGAAATTATTTAGTGCTTCGCGATTGAGTTGCAACCGTTAATCTAAACTGTCCAATCTATTTTGGCTAAATCTAAGCCATCCGAAATCCAATCGCAACGATCCAATAGTGTTTTTCAACTATTTAGAATATTCCAGACACATTTGTATGGTCAGATTTTGCAAATTCCATACCTGTAATTTACAAATTTTATTTAAAGATATGAAGTGAAAAAATATTCTTCGAAGCAGGAGTTGAAGAATACAACAAAGAAAATATCACAGATAAGGTGATAGAAGATGTTCCAGATATTGTGGACGAAATAAACAACAAATGGTTGTTTCCAACTACAAAAGACAACAGTTGATTGTTCTACACAATAGAGAACAACATGTGATTATTTCACAAGCACCGAACAACAAGTGGTTGTTCCAAGAGACATACGTCAACAGTTGGTTGACAGTACCGAACAATAGGAGGTTATTCCGAAAGAGAGATAGAAATCAATAGAGGATTGACTACAAAGACCAGACAAGGAGGTCATCCACAAGCAGATATAAAGTATCGTGTAGAAAATCCAACAAATTGAGTTTGAGGGGAAGTTGGGAAGACAAACTCAATTTGAGTTTGGTGAAGGAGAATTCCAGAGAAGATGAGAATAAGCAAGAGACTACTGGAAAGTTCTAGAGAGAAGAAGAGGAAACCAAAATGAAGAAGAAGATGAAGCTTTAAGGAAGCTCTATTGTTGAAGCTTAAGGATGAAGTAACACTGTGCACACACGGTTTGTGCACGGATTGAAAATCTATAAATAGATAGGTTGTATGTTTGTTTGAGATAGAGTGGGAGAAAAATGTTCTAACAAAGTAGAGAGTATGAGAGTTAACAGAGAATTTGCTCTGTTTTGTATAATTTGTTTGTGATTGAATAAAAAGAGTGTTTATACGATTTTATTCCTCTCTTTGTATACCATCACAACCGGTATACACCCCTCTCCCACTTCTATCAGATCCTTGAAGTGAGTCAAGTATTCTTTCAGTACACTTACAGCTAATTGTCATTATTATTTATAATTCAGATTCCGCCTAATACATCCAGAAACTGTTTTACCCTTGGAGAGTACTATACTGACCTGTGCACTTTGGAATTCATCAACCGTACAGTAATTTGATGATGCACCCTTACTTTTCCAGGACCAAGTGCTGGCTGTGATATTTCAAGTCCTTCCTCTTTGACAATAGAAAGATACCTGCAGAGATATAATATATTTAACATTATGATTCTGAGGTCAAAGAAATTATGTTTATGCTGTTTCAACTGCATTGTGTATAAATATTTCTGTGAACTTAAAAATAAAAAATAAAACCTGTATGACAATTTGCACAAGTTTAGAGAGGACAAAGCTTCACGCTACAAAGTTACACTTGCATAGTATTCTTCATAAAACTGAAAGAGTTTGACATGCATTACTTAAAGTAATTATAAAAAGGGCACTTTGAGTAATTGATAGCCTTGGAAACCCATGTGAAAAATCGTATAAGGCACAAGTTAGGTGAAGGTTTTGCAAGAAATAAAAATTGCAAGGGATACCTTCCTTTATTACATTAATGAATGGTTCTGCACTGTTTTGTGCTTGCTTGATTTAAAAAGAAATATTGAAAAATAGATTTTTTTGTTTCGTCATATACGTCACTTTCTTAGAATTTTAATTTTAGAAACAAACACTATGACATCAAAGCCTAGAAAGTCAGTTCTCAGCTTCTCTTGCTGAATGCTATTTGCACAATGATGATCATTCTTTGCCATTCTTTGACACCAATCTTTGGGCTCTAAATCTTAGCAGAAATTTCTTCTTCTTTTTTTTCAATTTTTCTACTGGCTTTCTTGATGGGAGCAACAAAACAAACCTGAAATCCTGCCCGTAAAGTGAACTTTCAGCTCATAAAAAAAGGCCATCAAGAAAGGTAGAAACTGGCAGCAAGCTTCCTAGAAGGATTTCTCCTAAGCACTGCAATGCCCATTTAAGTTATTTCGGACAATTACAATTTACAACACAATAGATGTTCCGATCTTCCATGTACCAATGGCCACCTATGTTACAACTTACATGAACTTAGGTATGAGTATCAAGTGGGAGTGCTTGTCCAAGCATTGGGCATTCATAAACCTAAATATTAGGATATTGAGATATATATCTAAAAGTTGGATATGAGTATGGGGACTCATCACAGACACTATATGTATTACACATTGTATAATATTCTTATATATATATAGTCTGTTTCTAGAATCAAGTACTAACCAAGAGGGTTATAGCATTAATATTGTGCAGTTATTGAAAAGTAAGAAGCAAACAGGCACCCATCTCTTACGGGCAAGAAATACACCCCAAGAACTCCTAGCTCTAAGGAGCAAACAGTGATGCCTACAGGCCCCAGGTTTCAAGTCAATATCAATAATTAACTTGATTACATACCCAACTTCATTATTTCATAATATGAATTACTAGATACGAGAACAACCATATTCCAGAGGTCCATTTAACATTTTACAGTTATTTTAAAATTTAATTCTAAAACTAGGGTCTTTTTAAACTTATATTTCCAATCTACGTGAAAGTGTGTTGCAAAACATGTTTTCTAAAAGTGTATGCTTTTAATTCCTTGTTTTGAAGTTAAATTTAGAGTAGAAGTCTGTTAATAGTCGAAGTGCAGAGCAAACATGGTTGATAACCATGCTTTATATTAAGACCTTACCAATAACATTTTCCCCTGAATTTGAATAAAATAGGAACCCAAAAGGCGTGGTTAACAAACACCCTTTCAAGAAAACATGTTTTCTAATCATGCTTTCACATAGTTTGAGAAACAAGTTTAAACTGTCTTAATTTTGAAATTTTTCAAAAAGGTAAATAGGCATATTCCATATAAACTGGGTTAATTTCACTTTTATTGCTGGAAATTTGTGTTAATGCATATAATAAGATAGTGGCATATGATAGTGGTGTTGGTGGTAGATAGTGGCATGTATAGAATATGATAGTGGTGTTGGTGGTAGATAGTGGCATGTATAGAATATGATAGTGGTGTTGGTGGTAGATAGTGGCATGTATATAATATGATAGTGGTAGATAGTGGTAATATATAATATGTAAGTGGCATATAATGGGTTATAATGATGTTTGTAATATCTCCTATATAAGGAGTGTCATTTGGTCTTGTAAAATAAGAAGTTTTGAATATAACAGAAATATATTCCTTCTTCCTCATATTTTCTAAGTTTTATACCTCAAACTATAATCATTTTTTTCTATTTCATCTTTAAATTATGCATTTCATAATTTTAGCTAACATGATCTAGTTGAAGACGGTTCTCCAAATCAATAACCATCAAAACTTAATTTAATGGGCAATTCAAAATTTGAACAACATAAACCATACAATCAAACATTCATTTCTTTTATTCATCATTTGGAAATAAGGGGCAGAGAAGAATATTAGTGTTTGGTTGTAGGGTATAAGTCGTTTAATACAATGTGATTAAGATGATGGGTGTTTATGATTTAAGTCACTATCCAATTTGTAAAATTACTTTTTTGCCCATTAGGTAAGGTTTGGTTTGGACCAACTGTCTCCAAATGGAGCATGTGAATTGAACTAAACTAAATAGATCAAATTGATAGTTTAGGGATGAAATAGAAAAAGATGACAAATAGTTTAGGGGATAAAAAATGAAATTAACCCGGGCAAATATTGTCATGTTAGTTTTCATTGGAGTAACAAAGCAGCCAGGGCATCTGTAATTTAACAATAATCACTAAAGAATATAGGGGCCGTTTGTTTCATAGGATTGAGGCATGGGATTGGACACCCTATTCAATAAATTTACTACTCTATCTTCTGGTTAGAAAATTGAATGCCGGACTAATAGTCAAATAAACATCATTTTCAGAACCATCAGTTTATTGCATTGCAATCCTCTAATCCATAACAAACACCCATAAAGTAATGCTATACAAACAGAATCTATATACAAAAAACTCATACAGAATGCCCTTGGAAGTCAAAATGCCTATCAAATTGGTTCATAATTACAAGAATACAATTGTCGCATCATTCTTTTATCTTAAATTTTGTATAAGAATAAGGGGAAATTACATGAAAGTGGAACTGTCAGAAAATAATTATATATTCATGGAAAAATTAATAATTTTAATCATTAAAATTTGGGATAAATTACAAATACATTCTTGACTTTTGTTTAAAATATGGATTACCCTGTGGTTTGAAAAACTATAAATATCCCTTTATCAGATTTTTTTTTTTTTTTTTTAAGAGAAACTGCTCTCCTATATAAAATTGCCTGAATTATTAATTAAAATAAATTTCTAACATCATTACAAAAACTGTAAATTGACTTGATTAATAAAAGAGATCATTTGTTATGAAATTAGAAATTTCGAAAGGCGGAATGTAATTTCAGAAGCACATAAGCAAATCTCATAATTTGTAATTTGCGTTAAAATGTATAAAGTTTACCATGTCTTTTTTGGAAAAAGACAACCGACTTGTTATTTTCCCTAAAAATAAATAATGCATGAATATCATTTTCCAAGAATATATATAAAAAAAAAAAATAGAAAACTATAAAAATGGAAACTAATTAAATCAGACAAACCTTCCAGGGTCAAAATCATGAACATCAAGGTCCTCATCCCAGAGAAATATATAATCATACTCTGCTACTATATCTGGATGCAAGAATCGCTTGGCAAACCACCTATTAAAAATAAAAATAAAAATAAAAATAAAAATATCCCATTTAAACATCCACAGATTATTACAGATTATTTATAAACACTCTTGAATTTAATTGCAGAGGAATTAAATAGAATTGAAAGTCTGAATGAGAAATGATTGAGTAGTAGTACGAACCATTTAGTTTGATTGATGGCGGAGACATGTATGACGCGGCTGCTCCACTCTATATCTCGCCATTCATCAACCACGCCATCGTAGTGGAATACCATCACACTAAAACCATTTTCCATAAACTGCCAATAAATTCGTTTATTTTAGTAATTTATTTATTTTTAAAATATTTAAAAACTTTGAAAAAGAAGCAAAAATAATTATGGCTTTGTTTGGGTATAGTTTTCATAAATTATTTTTAAATGAGTTTTTGTTTTTTTTATTGAATTATTTTTTATTTTTTAAATAAATTAAAATTAGATGTATCAAAAAATATTATAAAAATTTACTAAAATAAACGAAAATTTATCTAAAATATTTTTTCCTTTTTAATGCATCTGTCCAAAACAAACTTGAAAAGTTTTAAAAAAAAAAAAAGAAAAAAAAAAGGCTTAATTTAAAATAATTAAAAAATCACTAAAGATATGACTGTATGTCTAGCTCAGCTACTAACATCCTCCATTATATGGCCCCCCCAAAAAAAAAACTAACAAATTGACTTTTAAAAAATTTCTAAAGAAAAATTTTGGGAGAATTACCATTGAGGGGTGATTGTGAAAAATGGCAAATTGCACTAACGGTCTTTGTAGTTTGGAATTTGTATCACTTTACTTTTTAACCTTTTAATTTTGATACATTTAATTTTAGATTTTAAATCTCGTTTCAAATAAAGACAATTGAAGACATTGTTGTTCTATTTTAAGGGCAAAATTATCAATTTAATAAAATATAAATTAGTTTGACAAAAATAAACGTCAAAAAATTATTTTTGAATTTTTAAAAATTAATTCTACCTACCAAAGATAAAATTATATAAAAATGATAAATCTTGTACTTTTTTATTTATTTTTATTTTTTTACTAAATTAATTTTTAGTATATGTTTGGATGATGATTATGTAATTTTTGGTTATTTTTATTGATATTTTTTTTATAGTTATCATATAATAGATAGTTGGTTGTTTTTGTTATTAACAAATATTTTTTTTATAGTTATCATGTAATAAATTGTTATTAGGTTTTTAATGTGTAATCGATATGTTTAATATATGAAATATTTTTAGTTTTGAATTTTTTGTTTTAATGAATTGATTTAATAATGACACCATGGTTGTAGTTATGTTTGACTTTTAAAAAAATAGATACTAATTTAACGAAAATAAATATCAAAAAAATTTATTTATATCCTCCTAAAATATAAGATTATATAAAAATGATGTGTTCTTAATTTTTTTTTTCATCAATTCAATTTTTAGTTTTCTTAGAAATTTTTTCTAAAAATAGAATATGAAAACTACTCGTTTGGCAACTGGCTTTTTTAGTCAAAAAGTCAAAAAAAAAACTAAAAAAATCAAAAAGTCAACAACTTATACCAAAAATCAAAATTCTCTTTTCTTTCTACTTTTTACACATCTTTTCGTAAAAAATTAAAAAATCATCCCAAACATACTACTTTTTTTAATATCATATTTTAGTCAAAAATCTAAAAAGTTACTAAAAATTCTCAAACGAGTAGAACTTTATAACCAAGAAAGTTATACTATTATTCATTAAACAAAAGGTATTACATTTCGAATAACATACAAGTTAATCAATACTAAATAAGTTATATAAAGACTTTGCCTTTGAAATAGACTATTTGCAAAGGAAATATCTTTAATTGTTTTTATTTGGAACAAAATTTAAATTTTAAGATCAAATGTATCACAATTTAAAAGTCAGAAATCAAAATGAAACAAATTTCAAACTAGAGACACTGTTAATATAATTAGTCCTTTGAAAAATTATTACATATTCATGATAAAATTTTATCATCTTTCTTTGAGAGGTAATTTGTGGACTAAAAATAAACTAATAAAAAAGTTAATTGTAAAGTAAGTTAGTTCTTTTGGCACATTTTTAACCCCTTTTTGTTTTATTTTTTTAAAGACTTGTGGTTAAAATCAGTTTATCATCTTTCTTTGAGAGTTAATTTATTGACTAAAAATAAAATAATAAAAAAGTTAATTATAAAATAAGTTCGTTCTTTTTGGCATATTTTTAACCGTTTTTTTTTTTTTTCTTGGTTAAAATTAGTTTTTTGACCAAATATATGAAGACCCGTTTGATGTAGTTTCTTGTACTTGAAAGTCCTTTATGTGAAAAGAGTATGTCTAAATGAATTCAACACTTTTTTTATTTTTTATTTTTTATTTTTTTAATAAAATTAGGTTTAGTGGCCGATCTAACTATCCCTTAGGATAGTGAGAAAGTCAAAATCAACATTTAGGATTTGAGTCAACTGCGAATTTTTTGTTATAATCAAACTTACTAACTCTTAATAACGTAGCCCTTAAAAAAAGAAACTAACAAATCTACTTTTAAAAAATTGTTAAAGAAAATTTTGGGAGAATTACCAGGCAGGGGTAATTTTGAAAAATTATTGCATATTTATGATAAAATTTGAAATTTTAATTATAAATATTTACAATTTTTTGTAATTATTTTTTCTCAATATCACTGTCATAATTTTTTAAAAAAATTAAATTTTTTTGAACTAGACTTGGATTATTCGGAGAACCTAGTTTTATAGAGATATACTGGTTACCTTTTCAACAATTTGGTTCGCTGTTTCTTTCTGCTTTATTCCGGCTGCAATGGCCAATAAATTTGCTGAAGTTGAATTGTTCTGATTGAAAAACATTTCAGAAAAATATATATAAAAAACTATTTTTTTAAAAAAATACAGAATATAAGGTAACAGTAATATACTTGAACTGCATAACATTTGGTCAGTAAGTTACAATCATGCTAGTAAACGAAAGTGTTAACATATAATATACATATAATATACACCCCCACTACCATGTATAGCTGTAAAAGACCTTGCATCTGTAAAGGCCACAATGTGTAGCTGTAAAAGAGAACTTTCACTTTAGCTTTAGCTTCTCTCAATGTACATTACCTGGAATCCGATTCTAATTGTCTCCCTCTCCTCTCTATAAAGAGAGGAGCTTGCTCTCTTGTAATATACTGAAACATAATATATCAACACCAACTTTCAGTCCCTCTCTTTTTCTCTCCCTCGTTACCAACCTTACATTCTCTCTGTTCTCTTCCTCGTTACCAAACTCACATGGTATCAGAGCTTAGAAACACAATTCTCCTTCAATTTTAGGTCTTAGTTCCGTACACAGTGGACTATACCAAACAGCTCGGAATTTCCCTCCGATCCCAACGGCACCAAGCCCATCACCAAACAAGCCTTCACGCGCTCTCACGCGCCGCTTCTTCTCTCGGCGCGTCTCTGCTTCCGTTGCCACTCTCACACGCGCTGCCACGCGCCTTCCATCCTGCCCTGTCGTGCGCCGCACCTGCTACCGTGCACCAGCGTGCGCCGTTCGTCTACCGTGAGCCGCGCGTGCGCCGTTCCGCTATTGTGCACCCGCGTGCGCCATTCTGCTAACATACGCTGCCAGTCCCCTCTGCTACCGTGCGCCGCACGCCCTTCCTGCTAACGTGCGCCGCTGACCTCATTTTCCCCCCTACTGACATCATCCCTGCACAGCCCACCTTTCCTAGCTATTTTCGACCTTCTGGACTCACTGGTACACTCTGTTTTACCTAATTTTGCTCCTACAGGTCTCTCCCTATCCATTTAGCCCTACTCCACTATTATTATGGATCGTCTTGATGCCTCCCATCCCATTTCCGTTATTTTGGATGGTTCCAACTATGTTCTATGGGCCCAAGCCATGTCTTCCTTCCTCAAAGGAAAGAAGCTCTGGCGAATTATCACCGGGGACATGACCCAACCGGTCAAAGACACTGCTGAAACCACTATTTCCCCTGCTACTCCTACATATGAAGATCGCCTTGAGGAATGGGACAGTAAGAATTACCAAATCATTACCTGGTTTCGGAATACATCTGTTACCTCTATCAGTCTTCAGTTTGGCCGCTTTCAGCTTGACTCTGTCACCACTCCTGCCAAAGATATCTGGGATTTTTTGAAAGAACGCTACCAGACTACTGGTCTTGCTCATCAATATCAACTTCAGAGCCAACTTCATCGGATGCGCCAAGAATCTAGTCAGTCCATCAATGACTTCCTCTCTCAAATGTACTCCGTTTGGGACCAGCTTGCTCTTTCTGAACCAACTTGGCCTCACCAAGAAGATGCTGTTTTATTTACTGCTTATCGTAATCAGCAAAGGTTGGTGCACTTTCTCATGGCTCTCACTTCATCTTTTGAGCCTGTACGTGCCTCTCTTCTTCATCGCCATCCCTTGCCCACTCTAGAACAAGCTATTTCTGAGTTGCTATCAGAAGAGACTCGTCTTGGTACTCTCCAAACTCATCATGTGGACTCTGTTCTTGCCACTCCCCCGTACCAACCATCATTCCCCCAGCGGACCACTGCCTGTCTCTACTGTCAGAATCGGGGCCTTCCTTCAACACATCTCCTGGTCAATTGCCCAGTCAGACCCTGCCGATATTGCAACAAACTTAGTCCTGGTCATCTGCAACAGGATTGTCTTCGCCATCCATCCCGCTCATCCTCCAACAACCACTCTTCTCGCGGTGGTTCTTCTCGGGGGAGCTTTCATCGTTCCAGAAACCAATCTCATCCTGGGAATCAGTTTCCTCACACCGCCACTGCTGCTGCTGCCGCTGAGGGTCTCTCCGAGTCTCCTGCTCCGTCTACTCCTCTCTTTTCTCTAACGGATGTAGAGGCCATGTTCAAACACCTTCTCTCCCCTTCTGGTACACCTCCTCCTACTGCTTTGTCTGTAATTCCAGGTAACTCTTCTTGGTATTTTGATTCTGCCTGTTGTAATCATATGACCTCCAGTTCAACTATATTTTCTTCTATCTCTTCCTCTCCTCATATTCCCTCAATTCAAACTGCTGATGGTTCTCTCATGACTGTCCGTCATCTTGGTACTGTTTCCACATCTTCCTTAACTTTACCTCAAGTTTATCATATCCCTGCTCTCACTTTAAACCTTATCTCTATTGGTCAATTATGTGAACTTGGTCTAACTGTCACCTTTTCTGCTACTCATTGTTTGGTGCAGGACCCTCAGACGAGGCAGACTATTGGGATCGGCCGTAAGCACGGACGTCTCTATGAGCTCATTCACCTTCATGTTCCTGCCTCTCCTCAGATTGCTGCTCCTGCCTCTGCTTCCTCATTATCTCCTTTTCAGCTTTGGCATTGTCGCTTAGGACATATTTCTATTACTCGCTTAAAGTCTTTGGTTTCTAGTGGACAATTGGGTCATGTAATTCCAGATACTTTCGATTGTATACCCTGTCAACTTGCCAAACAACCTGCTTTATCATTCAATAAAAGTACTTCTGTTTCCTGTGCACCTTTTGATCTTATACATTCGGATATTTGGGGCCCTTCCCCTACCACTACTATGGGGGGATCTCGTTATTTTGTTGTTTTCATTGATGATTTTTCACGGTTTACCTGGATTTTTCTCATGAAAACTCGGTCTGACCTCAAAACTCTTTATTATCGATTTGCCCAAATGATCCACACCCAATTTTCTAAAACCATCAAACTTTTTCGCTCCGACAATGCTATGGAATATCGGGATTCAGATTTCCTTTCTTTTCTTCAGAGTCATGGTACACTGCCTCATCGTTCCTATGCTGGCACGTCCCAGCAAAATGGCCGTGCTGAACGGAAACATAGGCATATTCTTGACACTACTCGCGCTCTCCTTCTTTCTTCTTCCTGCCCTGAAAACTTTTGGGGGGAAGCTGCCCTCACTGCTGTCTACACTATCAATTGTGCTCCTTCCCCTGTCATCCATAATCAAACTCCATTTGAACGTCTGCATGGCACTCCCCCTCCCTATACTAATCTTCGGGTTTTTGGCTCTGCCTGCTTTGTTCTCCTTCAATCTCATGAACGCACCAAGCTTGAACCGCGTTCTCGTCTTTGTTGCTTTCTTGGGTATGGAATTGAACATAAAGGCTTTCGCTGTTGGGACCCTCTCTCTAAACGTCTTCGTATCTCCCGCCATGTAGTTTTTTGGGAGCACCAAATGTTTTCCTCCCTATCCTCATTTCACTTACCTGCACTTTCCACTAATGTACTGTTTACTAATCCTTCCATCGATCTCTTCTCTGATGATTTTGATACAGGTCCCTCCGTCATTGAGACGCCCTTGCTCACTCCTGCTCCCCACCAGACTGCTCTCCCTGAAGGTCCACCTCTCCCTGCACCACCTCCTTCTCCACTGGTTCTTCCTCCCACCGATCCTCCTACGGGTCGACCACACCGGGTAACTCAACCTCCTATCCACCTTCGTGATTATATTGTTGGGTCTGCTGCCTTTTCTACTTATGAACCTACCTCCTATCGTGAGGCTTGTACTAATCCTCTTTGGCAGCAAGCTATGACTGATGAACTTCAGGCTTTGGACAAAACTCATACTTGGGATCTTGTTGACCTTCCTCCTGGAAAAACTTCGATTGGCTGCAAATGGGTTTACAAAATCAAGACTCATTCTGATGGCTCGATTGAACGCTACAAAGCTCGTCTTGTTGCCAAGGGTTTCAACCAGGAATATGGGATTGATTATGAGGAAACCTTCGCTCCTGTTGCTCGGCTTACCTCTGTTCGCAGTTTACTGGCTGTTGCTGCTGCTCGCCACTGGGAGCTTTTTCAAATGGATGTCAAAAATGCCTTCCTCAATGGTAATCTTCTTGAGGAGGTCTACATGCAACCTCCCCCTGGGTCTACTTTTCCCCCTCATAAGGTTTGCAAACTACAGCGTACCCTTTATGGCCTCAAGCAAGCACCCCGTGCCTGGTTTGCTAAGTTCAGTTCTACCATTCATGACTTTGGGTTCACCTCCAGCTCCTATGACTCTGCTCTTTTTATCCGGACTACTCCTCATGGTACCACTCTTCTCCTTCTGTATGTGGATGATATGATTATCACTGGTAATGATGCAGCTGGTATTCTCCACCTCAAACGCTTTCTCCACCGACAGTTTGAGATGAAGGACCTTGGTACTCTCAACTACTTTTTAGGCCTTGAAGTCTCTCATGATCCTACTGGCTCTTACTTATCTCAGGCCAAATATGCATCCGATCTTCTGGCTCGTGCTGGTCTTACTGATTGCAAAACTACATCTACTCCAGTTGATCTCAGATTTGTCTCACTCCTCTCGACGGGGCTCTCACTCCCTGATGCTACTCTCTATCGTCAGCTCGTCGGCAGTCTGTCTATCTCACAGTAACTCGTCCTGACATTGCCTATGCTGTTCACATTGTTAGTCAGTAACATGTCGGCTCCTCGCACTCCCCCACTATACTGCTCTACTTCACATCCTTCGGTACATCAAAGGCACCCTGTTCCATGGCCTTCACTACTTCTTGCTTCCTCTCTCTGGAACTGCGTGCCTTCTCTGATGCTGATTGGGCTGGGGATCCTACAGATCGACGCTCCACCACGGGCTTCTGTTTCTTTCTTAGGGGATTCTCTTCTTACTTGGCGTAGCAAAAAACAATCCCTCACTGCCCGTTCTAGCACCGAAGCTGAATAAAAAACCGAGCTCTTGCTGATACTACTCAGGAACTTCTCTGGCTTCGCTGGCTCCTCACTGATATGGGTATTTCCTCTTCTGGCGCTACCGCTCTTTATTGTGACAATCAGAGTGCTATTCAGATTGCTCACAATGATGTTTTCCATGATCGCACCAAGCATATTGAGATTGATTGCCATTTCATTCGACAACATGTTACACGTGGTACTGTTCATCTTCTCCCAATTGCTTCTGCCGATCAACCTGCTGATATCTTCACCAAGGCTCATTCTCCTGGGCGTTTTCGTGATCTTGTTTCCAAACTCAACTTGGTCGATGCCTACCCTCCTTGAGTTTGCGGGGGGCTGTTAACATATAATATACATATAATATACACCCCCACTACCATGTATAGCTGTAAAAGACCTTGCATCTGTAAAGGCCACAATGTGTAGCTGTAAAAGAGAACTTTCACTTTAGCTTTAGCTTCTCTCAATGTACATTACCTGGAATCCGATTCTAATTGTCTCCCTCTCCTCTCTATAAAGAGAGGGAGCTTGCTCTCTTGTAATATACTGAAACATAATATATCAACACCAACTTTCAGTCCCTCTCTTTTTCTCTCCCTCGTTACCAACCTTACATTCTCTCTGTTCTCTTCCTCGTTACCAAACTCACAGAAAGAAAGGGAAAAAAAAAATCCTCAAATAAATAAAACAATTGTCAATAATTTGTAAAATAAATTTTCTTAAAGCATAAACTTCAAACTAACATAACATCACATGTAGAACATTTGAAAAAAAAAATAAAAAACAATTTCAGTATACAAGACTTTTGTCACTATGAAATTTAGGAGCGTGCACAGTTTTTTATATGCGAAGAGGTTATTTCCACATTTTGAACTGATCAACCTTAATATTTTACCAAAACCTTAATATTGTATCAAAGTAAGGGCAACCGTGTCATTCAAGGTCAAACCTCGATAAGAGATATCTTTTTATATTTTATATAATATATTCTATCCATAGTCTTTAAAAAGAGAATTTTTAACCAGAGAAATGTTTGGCATCTTTTTTGGGGGGGTTTTATGATTTTTAATTTGATCTTGATTCTTGATATATGTGTGGGGTCCATGATATGTGTGTGGAGTTCACTCATGTATGTATAGACCCCATATTATGAGTGGTTGGGATAAGACCCCATATTATGAGTGGTTGGGATAAGAGTAAGAGTTGTGGGAGTCATGTATGTACGAGGGTCTCTACCACAATTGTTTTAACAAAGTGCTTGATTTTCCTTCCATATATTAAGGTTATTTTAGGGATAGCCTTCGTTTGGCATACCAATTTTTTTGAATTTTTGGTTATTTTAGTCAAAAAAGATAAACTAGACTTTTTAGTTTAATAAGACAAGACATCGCATCCAAAGCATAATCATTTTATTTTTTTCTCTCATAAAACTCAAAAAAGTCAAAAAAAACCTATCACAAACGAGACTTTTTAACTCCAAATTAAAAAAATTAAAAAGTCAACTCACATCCCAAACGAATCATTTTCTTGCAATGATTTTGGTGTACTTCTATCACAATAAGACACGATGAATAATATATAATTTAATGATTTGAGTTAAAGAAAAATGATAATAAAACCATTGCAAAGAATCATTATCTCTCAATATGAATATATTGTTTTGGTTATGCCATTTGACTAAACTTTTATTTTTTATTTTAAATTAGGTTTTGTACCAGATTGGAATTTGGAAGTTAAAACTTGTACGCTTTTCAAAAAAATGAGACCTTAAGGAATGAGTTGAATGGTCTAATGCTCAGGTGGAAGTTAAAACTTGTACGCTTGTCAAAAAAATAAGACAGTGGAATGGGCTAATGCTCAGGTGGACACTAATGCATTGTTTGGTTGTTGGGAAGAGATTTGAAAAGAAAAAATAAAAAAATATATGAAATTAGAAAAAATGTAAGTATATTTATTCACATTTTATTTATATTTTTTTTTTTCTTTTCCAAATGAGAAGGTATGTGACATTATGATTGTTTTGAGAAGTAGGTTAGTTGACTTTTTGATTTTTTTTATCTTTTTTTTTTTTGAAAAAATGTATAAAAAAATATAAAGAGGTAATGTGACCATAAATAGATAAAAATTCAAAAAATAACTTTTTACCTCCTTGCCAAAACAAGCCTAAACCCACCCTAGTAGAACATCTAATTAGTATATAATTAACAAAATGGCCATTCCTCAAATTGTCTTTCAAACACCAATAAAAATATATGATATATTCTACCATATAAACGAGGGCAAAGTTTATTTTACCTCCTTGTAGTAGGGTCGAATTCCACTTTAACCCCTTGTCTTTTAAAAATAGTCACATACCCCCATGTAGTTTTAAATTAAATTACAATATTAACTCTATTAACTTTGGCAATAATAAAAAAGACAATTATACCTCTTGTTTTCTTGCTCTTACTTTTTGTTATTTTTGTGAAAATAAAAAAAAAAAATAAAACTTGCTTCAATTAAGGAACTTGATTTTCTCTAATTACTAATTTAATGGCAACTTAAGTTATAATATATTGGTGGATAATATATATATATATATTACCATTACTAGGCAAAACATAGTTTGAAAAATGAAATTTGAAAATGAAAAAAAAAAAACGTAATAAACAAATGGTTAAACAATAGAAGAACTGTACAAGCATGGGAGGCAGAGGGTTGGTGAATGAATCTCAAACAAATGCCAAGATTTTTCATTGCGATTTATAAAAAAAAAAAAGGATCGAAATACTCGTTATCATATTATTTTTTCATCACAAAAATAAGATTACATATTACCCAACTTTGTGCATATATAGTGTGTATATCTATGAACTATTTAATAAGTTAAGAATGAGTTTTCTCTTTGAATTTGCAGGAATCACAGATCTGTCGCTTGCGTTGCAGTGGCTAGTATGATGGAGGAGGTGATGGTAGGTCTAGATTTATGATTTTCTTCCGGAGAAATGAAGAAAGGGGTGATTTTGTCTTTTTACCTTGGAAAGTCGACTTTAATTAATTATTTTTCTTCCAAAACTCTCTCCAAATGCGCATGTATGCGCATGTAGCACAATTTTTGTTAGTTTGGACAGAAAATGTAACATAAACAATTTAGTCCAAAATCATATGAGGATTAATTGATTATTTTTAAAAGATAGAGGATAAAGTGCAATCGAATTATACCACATGGAAATAAAATGAATTTTGCCCTAAAAGCTAATCACAAGAGAAGAGGATACTACCGTGACCAAACCTTTTCAGTATGCTGAAATTGCTCAATATTTAGACTTTGGTTGTGAGATTTATTGAGATACCCAATCTAAGAAAAAAAATTAAAAAAATAAAAAAATGAGTTGACATACATTCTTTGCAGCAGGACCCCATAAAGGGCGCATTTCCAAGTTTGAAGTTTGTGTAAAATAAATTGAGATGTATATTATTGATTGATGTATTACAAGATTGTTGTGTATAGATTTTGTATATTACAAGCTATTATATAGGAGAGGTGTGAGGTAGGTGAGTGGTGGTAGTGGATGGTAGTGGAGGTGGTGGGTGGTAGTGGAGATGGTAAGTGTGTTAGGTTTAGTGGAGTGGATGTAGTGGGTTAGGATAGTGGGTTAGGTTTAGTGTACATTAACATGGGCAATAATTCCTTCTGGCAATGCTTCACTTCCAACAGCCCTGCATTGTTTCTAAAATTAAAGCAAAATTAAATTTAAACAAAAAATAGAAAAACATAATATATATGAAAGAGCTTTATGAGCCAGAATACCTTGCATTCACTATTAGATTGTGTATTCTTCTGCCTTGTGTGATTCATTTTTCCTCCGAGTGACATCATTATCTACACAAGCAATTGTCACACACATTCATTTATTTAAATTTTTTTTTATAGATAGGTTCATTTGTTTAATTAAAATGATACATGTTCACGTAGCTATAAAGTTTCCCTCAAATAAGGGATTTTCAAAACATAATATTCTCCCTCACATGCAACTTTATATGTATAGATACAAACAAATATATATATATATATATATATAAAGAGAAGCATAATGTAAAGGAGAATACTAGTCTTTCTTAAGGCTACTCTTTAGATTTAGGCTCGGTAATTATATGGTATATGTGTAACATAAAAAATCATTACATACTCTTGAAGAATCATGTGGTATTATCTATGTGATACTTTCGGCTAATAGAAAATCAACCGTAAAGTTTTCGCTACATGATTGGGTTAAATAATGTCACATATTATCGTGGCATTACTAAATAACTACTCGTGCAACGAGGGACTATATGTACCCAAAAAAGTAATTTTATCAGGATATATCGTGACAATACAACTCCAAACTCTTATTCTAAACTCTAATTTCAATCTTATTTTATTTTATATTATTGTTTAATCTATTTAGTTAACATATTATGTTTAGTTTATGTTTATAGTTTCTGAATTGCATGCCAGTAAGTTTAATTTTTTGGGGTCAATTTTATCATATTATTTGTACTTAATATTTTGTTTCTATTTTGCTAGATTGACATTGAAAACTAAAACAATGAAAAGTTGAAAACTTCCAGTTTTTATTTTTGTGCTAAAATAGTTTTTAGAAATTAAAAAATAACTTCTCATCGTTTACTAAAAAGTGGGTATTCTTGGAAATTTTCTCCAAAAGAATTAGTTCCCCTATGCTTTCTGAAAAATAAAAAGCATAAAACAGAAATTAAAAATACAACCAAACTTGTAGTAGCACCATGTAACCCCATGTGACTTAGACACATAAATCATGGAATCTCTTGTGTGAAGTAAATAATTATAAATAAATAAAAAGTAATTAACCATTCAAGCAACAATTAATAATATTTACTCCGTAATCTTTTGAAAGGATTGCATTGCTAATGAAGTAAGAACCACAAATCAACAAAGCAATCATCAAGATACTGCAGTGCCCAGATTTACTCTTTAAATCCAACAGTAGAGAAACCTAACAAAGAAAAACAAAATGAGAAACAATAATCATAAATCTTTTATAATAAAATGCGGTCATATTAATTAGCACAAAATGATAATGTCTAATCCTTTTTTTCTATCTTTAATGGGCAAATATTCATGAGAGACACCCTTTTTCACCGATTCGGGGAGGGTGCTATGAGTTTTTATTATTATTTTTGAGCATTTCTTACTGCTAAGAATATACTTTTATTGCTAAGAATACTAACTTATTCTTTTATTTTTGAGTATTTCTTATTGCTAAGAATATACTTTTATTGCTAAGATTACTAACCTATTCAGTGAAAAAGTCACAGCATGGGTGTGGTTAGAGCACTGTCTCAAATTCCTTTTTCACATTGTTGTTATTATGGAAACATATCCCTTAGACCATCTCCAACGGTTCATCAAACTTAGGCCTAGTTTGGGAAGACTAAATAAGTGTACTTTTTGACTTTTTATGAAATATGGGTTGGGTTTGGGTTGGGTTTGAAGTGATGTGTTAGAGAGGTGATGTGACTTAAATAAGATGATGTGACTTAAATAGGATAGTTACTTTTTGACTTTTTGTCTTTTTGTCTTTTTTGTCTCATGCCAAACTTGGCCTTAATATCAAATTCAAAATTTGATGAAAAAGTCACTTTTTTGAGCTCCAACGATTTCACCAAATCGATATCAAATCGAGAATTCAGCAAATCTTTTACCAAAACGAGAACAGGCGAAGCATTTCACCAAATCACTGTTCCTGACCGTTGGGAGAGACCAACCGGTTGCCCGGCCGGTTGACCAACCGGTCGACCGCCTAAAGGTTCAGACGGTTCCAAGAAAAGGTTCAAACAGTGAAAAAAAAAAAAAAAAAAAAAAAAAAAAAAAAATTTGCCTAACCGGTCGACCAGCCGATCGACCAGTCGGTCGACCACTAAAAGGTTCAAAAAGTTCAAAAAAAAAAAAATCGCTTAACCGGTCGACCGGCCGGTCGACCAACCGGTTGTCCCCGACACAAATTTGATGAAAGTGCACCGTTGGAGCGAGCGGTATCAAATTTGGTAAAATGGGTCATTTTTTACTCAAATTTGGTGAAAAATCTGATTCACCGTTGGAGATGCTCTTATTGAGATGTAAAGAAGGATGTTACAATAATATTAAAAAAAATGGCAACTATGTTTTGGTTTAATATTTAAAAATTATTTTCTGACAGTTATTCGTATTTTTTTTGGCTGTAGGAATTTTTTTTCATACTTAGTTATTATTATTTTATTTTTATTTTTTATTTTTTTACATTTGAGATGCACTAAAAAGAGAAATATATGTGAAAAAATTCATTAAACACAAAAGTTTCTCAAAAATTAGTACATTTCCATTTTGCTCTCTGGGAACTTTTTTCAAAATTCTTTTTACTTTTTAGATGTATTTAGATATGTGCATATAAAAGTAAAATAATTGATAAAAATATGATAACGTTAACTAAAGAAAAAAAAAAAAAGACAAAAAATTAAATTTGAAAACTAAACCAAACAAAATGAATAATTTTTGATGCTTTGAAAACAAATTGCAAATATGAGTTAGACCTCTTAAAAACAAAACTTTAATCAATTCCACAATAACCCCCAAAAAAAAAATTGTTTAAAAAAAATGGAGGCACCGGATTTTTATTATTTCAATAGTAGAAAGTAATTTAGAAATGTCATGAGAAAGTCTAACACTAGGATGCAATGCAACAACGTTGTTAACAACCATATAATAATTCCAACAACACAAAGTTTGACAACACAACAATCATATAATAAATCTAACAACTCAACAATCATTAAAAAAAAGATTTTCAAACAAATACATATTGACCAACGACCATTGGGACACATGGTTATTGACCAACGACCTAGCTCTTAAAAACTTAAAAACTCAACCATTGGTTCAAAATAATAGGAGAGTCTACATCCACAGAATTGATTACATGATTACAATAAATTAAGATTTTAAAGATAAAAAATTAAGAATAAAATCAATTTTTAGAGATGAACTATGTTAGTTGCTAAAATTGTTATATTTTTAGTAACAGTGAAATAGTAAAATTTGACGTTTATTGATGAATTACTATTCATTTGGAATCAAATTTTTTATCCCCCAAAAGTAAAATTATTTGGCACCAAATTATTTTGTTCCTAAAAGTGCATTTATCAGTGATATTTTTCAAAATTTTGTCACTAAAAGTTATTTTTTATTGACATTTTGAGATGGCTTTTTCGTAACGATATTAATTAATTGTCAAATATTTTTTGTAACTAAATTTTTATTTTTGGGAACAAAAAAATTTAATTTCTAAAACTCTTATATATTATCATAGAATAGTATTAAGAATATACACCTCATGAGATTCACCAGATGCTCAATTAAAATGAGTTTTATTATGCCGACATGAACAATATTGTTTAGAGTTTTTAGTGGCTGAATTTTGTGTAGGTTGATTAACTCAAATCATAATGCTCAGTTCAGTGCAATAATTTTAAAATTTTCAGGTATCAAATGATTTGCCTTAAACTTGCACTTTTCTTTGGTTTTCTCAGCATCCAAACACAACATGTGAAGTAAACATAAACATATATATACATATAAACACATAATATTGAGAAACAGATAAACAAGTCTAACTTATAATAATTAAAACAATTTGATTGAGTATAACTAAACTGCTCAAAAGCTTAAATCTAAGTATGGGTCAATACTTATATCATACAAATATATATATATATATATATGTATTTTAAAAATATGTAGGGAAGAAGAACTTACAAATTTGAATGGCTTCATGTTGCATGAACCTCCAAAACATCCACAGATATGTATATGTATATGTACCAAAAGCAAACAAATAAAGGTGGCTTTCAAAACAGTTAAAACGGTGCCTTTAGGGATGGGCAAAGAAAAATTAAGATTTGAGACTTGAAAGTTTCAAAACCCATCATCACCATAAGTAAAGCAAAGCTGAGATTTTGAGTTACATAGATAAACATTGTTAATGTACACCTACCACTCCCACTAACCTAACCCACTACTATAAGCAAGAGTAGGTGCAATTTGTGTTGGTGTTGTGTGTGTGAACTGGAATAATAGAGAAAGAGAGAACCATGAATTATGTAAGGATCGTGCGAGCGAGTGCGGAAGTTGACTTTCCGGGCGATGAAACAAAACTTGCTGTACGCTGCCTAATCCTGATGCCACGTGTATTTAATGGGTCCCACTCTTTTTGAATTTGTTTACTGGGTAAATTACAATTTGCATCTTTAATCTTTACCGATAAAATTATAATAGTTAACCCCTTACCCTTCTAGTCAAGTGTCAATATCTCTATTCTGTTATTCTATTATTTAAGTTTTTAATAGATACCAATTCATACCAGATCGAACTCGACGCAGTGTTCCCAAATCGATGCAGAGTCATCCGAGACGCCTCCACATGCTCAGGCGAAAGCTGCAAATTTTTCTCCAGTTCATCAATAAACGCCCTCATCCCCATCACTGCTGATGACCACGGCTTGACCCGCCTCAAAACCATCCCAGACTACCTCGACTTAGAGCTCAAGCAACAATCTGTGCTCAGTATAAAATTGCAGTTACTCTCTTTCAGGATCTCGGGAGACTGCAGAAAGTCCAAACACAATCCCTCAAACACAATCACTCTCTCTCATCTCATCCAATGACAACCACCTTATTACCTACCAAACACCTAACTTTCACTTTCACTCTGACTCTTATTCTCATTCTCATCATCTCCCTCCTCTTTTTCCACCCCACACTCAGCACAGAATGCAGTTGCACCTCACCACCACCACCACCAGAACCAGAGCCTTTAATCTTCCTAGACCAAAGACTCGCCCTCGTTTACCCTATAATCCAAACATTATCACTTCCGACCCCCTCGGAATCACCAAAACATGGGTCGGCTCCGACATTTGCAGCTACAGAGGCTTCTACTGCGGCATCCCACCTGATAACAGCTCCGCCACCGTGCTCGCTTCGATCGATTTCAACGGCTTCCAGCTGGGAGCTCCGACTCTCGATGGCTTCATTGATGAACTACCTGATCTCGCCGTCTTCCACGCCAATACTAACAACTTTTCCGGCACGATTTGGGTCTGTTGGTGTTGCCCACAATGGGAATTTGGTGAATTACCAATTTCTTCGTGCTATGCTTGAAGATAATGGGTCAATTTGATGGCAGCCAAACCAAATGAGGTTTCAACCACAATCCCACTACCCAATGCCTTTACTCTCTCTCTGACCCATCCACTCACCCCACTCTCTCTCTCTCTTCCTTTCCCACCCCTAACCCATGTGCCCAACTTCTTAATCTATTCTCCACCCACTTCTTAATATTTTATTTCGGTCATTCCTTCACTCACAGGAAACATCCACACCCAGCATTCCATGATCATTTTGCCTCCACTTGTTGCTGTCCGGAATATCATTTTGCCTCCAGTGGGTCCATGATCATGAGCATTACATGATTATTTCGGTCATTCAAGCCATGCCTACACTTGTTGCTGTCCGGATTATCTGCAATAAAGAAGATCCAATGACCACCAATATGCAGAACCCAAGCACAATAGGACCCACTGGATAAGCACTTCCTTATCCGATTCACACACCATCCCTGGTTTTTCAAATCATTAAAAAAAAAAAAAAAACCACACATTTCATTTCATTCATGACAGGGCTCAACCCCGATCACATTTTTACACCAAACCACAAAAAAAAAAAAAAAACAAACAAACAAACAAACAACCAAACAATTTACAACTTTGCACAACACCCATATTTTATTCATCTCCGGGATCACCCCCGATCATAATTTTACACAAAAAAAAAAAAAAAAAAAACAAAAAAAACCAAAAAAGATTTTTTCTTCTCTACTCTGCTGCCGGTCTTTTCTTCTTGCCTCCGTCCTGGACGGCCCTTGACCGTGCTGCCTCTGTGCTTTCTCCTCCACTGGGCATGATCACTACTCCCTGCTCCTCCACTGCAGCATATGGCGGCCCTCCAAATCGGAACATCACGGTGGCCTTCCGCTTCAGCTCCTTGTTTTCTGCCCTTAGCACGCTCATCTCTGCTCGCGCATCCTTATACATGCGTTGGAGCAGAGCCAGTTGGGAGTTTAACTGCTGCACCTCATTTGTCCTACTCTGTAGCCGGTGCGACAGATTTGTGACCGCCGTCATGGACTCCACACATGCCTTCAACGTATACTGATTGGCTTCCACATCCGACTGCACCGCCATTTTTTGCTCCACAGACCGCATCGGAAAGTTCAGCGGAGCAAACCCAGCAGTGTTTGGTTGAGGTTCACTGGCCACCGCACCAGTTCTCTCTCCTGTGGACTCGTTGAGGTCAGGAAAGAGAGTCAGCAGACCACGGGACGACGAAGCCATTTTCTCTCGCCACAGAGTGTTACAGCCTCTCTCTCTCAGCACAACAGTGTTACAGCCTCTCTCTCTCAGCACAACGCAGAGTTTTACAGAGGATTTCGCAGGTTTTTTGCTTCTGCCTCGGCCTCAAGGTTCAGTCTTGGTTAAATAGACGAGGCAGCCACGCGTATCGCGCGCCACTTGCCACCAGCCGACAAACGGACACGCCAGCCAAGGCACTCACGTGCCTCGCCATCATCTCTGGCACGCCTTTTGATGCATCGGGCACGCCTTTTGATGGCACGCCTTTTGACAGATTGGCACACCTTTTGAGGGCACGACTTTTGAGGGCTCGATATCTACATCCATGTATATTTTTTGGGCAGCCTATATACACCCTCATACAGTGTCTTCTACACCGGACAGCTTTATCAATCCCTTTGTTTCAACCTCAAAATAGGTTTCTATCTTCACACCTATTTGAGTTTGAGGGGGGGTTATAGACAGTATCATGTTCAAGCCACCTCATGGCGCACTCCCTAAGTCGCCCCCTTGGTGCACCACCACAATCCTGCTACAACGGTCCGACATGACCCCGTAAACTGTCTTCTACATCGGTCCGACATGACCCCGTAAACTGTCTTCTACAACGGTCCGACATGACCCCATAAACTGTCCTGCTACAACGGTCCGACAAGACCCCATAAACTGTCTTCTACATCGGTCTGACACGACCACACAGTGTCTGCTACATCGGTCCGACATGACCTCGTAAACTGTCCTGCTACATCGGTCCGGCATGACCCCGTAAACTGTCTGCTACAACGGTTTGACACGACCATACCGTGTCTCCTATCCTGTTTTATTTTATTTGTCAGTTTATTTTCCTGTTTTGTTACTCTCTTCAAACTCAAGTTGGTTAGTTCCTATCCTCCTTGAGTTTGAGGGGGGCTGTTAATGTACACCTACCACTCCCACTAACCTAACCCACTACATCCACTCCACTAAACCTAACACACTCCACTACCACCCACCACCTCCACTACCATCCACTACCACCACTCACCTACCTCACACCTCTCCTATATAATAGCTTGTAATATACAACAATCTTGTAACAATTCAATCAATACATCAATCAATAATACATCAGTTTATTTTACAAACATGATATACATGAAGAAAAAGAGATAGAGAGAGAGAAATAGATATATAAGCAAGAGTAGGTGCAATTTGTGTTGGTGTTGTGTGTGTGAACTGGAATAATAGAGAAAGAGAGAACCATGAATTATGTAAGGATCGTGCGAGCGAGTGCGGAAGTTGACTTTCCGGGCGATGAAACAAAACTTGCTGTACGCTGCCTAATCCTGATGCCACATGTATTTAATGGGTCCCACTCTTTTTTAATTTGTTTATTGGGTAAATTACAATTTGCATCTTTAATCTTTACCGATAAAATTGTAATAGTTAACCCTTACACTTCTAATCAAGTATCAATATCTCTATTCTGTTATTCTATTGTTTAAGTCTTTAATAGATATTCAATTATTTAACAAGTATGTGACTGCGAAATAAAAGTAAAAAAATAAAATCATTCTTATTTTTCACTAATACACATTCTTTGTCCCACATGTTATGCATGTGAGAGTTGTAATATATATGTGTATATATATATATATATATGCTGAAAATAGGGATGAAAATGTAAGAAAACAGAATATTTTGTTATAAAAAAAAAAAGGGTAATGGAGAACTTGTAGAGAAAAAAGAGGAATATATACAAAATTGTTTGACTGTGAAAAATAGAGTTTCATGATTTCAATTTTTACAAAACCCTAGTTCATTTTTTTAATTGTTCACAATTTGTATTTTGTTTTAGTCAAATACAATCATAATTTTATGTAAATTTTGAGACTAATGTGTGTAGGTGGAAAATGAAGGTAATTTTCCGCATTTGCTCTCATTTCGTAGTTATATACTTGTCACATTGCTGACATATATTAAAGACTTATACGATGGAGTAACAAAAGGGAGCTATTGGCACTTGACCAGAAATGCATAGGGTTAACTGTCACAATTTAATGTATAGAGATCAAAGTGAAATTTAGTACAAAGTGCAGGTTGAAAAATATATTTTATCCATATTTATTTATTTATTTATTTTTCATTAATTACACCAAAACCTCTAACATATCATTTCCTGCCCACCTGTAAACTCATATACATTGACCCTTCAACTATGAAAATAATAAAAATTCACCTTTTTTAAAGGTAATTTGAAAGTTTTATAGTTGAGAGGTCAATATATATGGATTCATAAATTAGGAAATAAAATGATATTCGTTAATAGTTGAGGCGGTCTTGATATAATTAACTATTATATATAAATAAAATAAAATAAAATAAAAAATCACTAAATATATTATTTTATATTGTTTTATTGAATCTCAACAATAGACCCCCAAAAAATGTATAAATTTAATAATATCTTGTTATTGTTTGTTGTGGATTTTTTTTTTTCAATAATGTGAGTAATATGTGCCCATCTATCTTGAATTTCCGGCTCTGCCATTGGCATTAAGGGTGGCCATTGAATGTGTATAA